GCTATCAGGGAAACCCAGGTAGAGCTCATTGGATAGCAGTTAAGAATATACTCAAGTATTTGCGAAGGACAAAGGACTGGGTTCTTGTGCTTGGTGGCAGTGATACTTTGAGAGTAGATGGTTACAGTGATGCCAGCTTTCAGACGGATAGAGATAACTTCCGTTCTCAATCAGGCTGGGTATTTTTACTGAATGGAGGAGCAGTTACTTGGAAAAGTTCCAAGCAAGATACGGTGGCTGATTCTACTTGTGAATCAGAGTACATAGCAGCAAGTGAAGCGTCGAAAGAAGCAGCTTGGTTGAGGAACTTCATCGGAGATCTCGGAGTTGTTCCAACCATCCAGGAGCCTATGGAACTGTTCTGCGATAATGAAGGAGCGGTTGCCTTGACAAAGGAACCGAGAGATCATGGTAAGACCAGACATATCGACAGAAAGTACCATTTCATCAGACATAGAGTAGAAGAAGGCCATCTTATAGTAAAGAGGGTGTCATCTGAAGATAACCCAGCAGATCCTCTCACAAAGGGTCTGAGTAGGGCTAAGCATATTCAGCATGCTCGGAGCATAGGACTGAAAGATGATATTAGTTTTAGTAGTTAGATTAGTTTTTGAAACTTGTAACAAAGTAAATGTAATTGACTTTTGGTGATTAAATAATAAAGTATTATTTATAAGTTTGGCTACTACCTTTTGTCAATTGTTTATTATTGTGTTTCATTTTTGCATGTTTTACTTCCTGAATAATGAGATTATTCAAACTCCACAGTCACTCGTACTCTTGGAAGTAAGTAGTGAATTAAGACTGTCATGAATTGGATTGCAGATTGTCTAAGGATAGACATGGCAATAGAATTGTTGCAACGTTCATGAGTACTCAGAAATTAAGATTTGAGTATTGGATAAACCCTCGCTCAGAGTATTACTTCATGGAATTCATCACGAGTAATACTGAGACGATAATATCTTGTAATCTTGAAACGAAGATATATGAGTTGTGATTTACAAGTCGGTCATACATTGGTGATACGAAAACGCATCAGTAACTTGGTGTTATAAAACGTATTGTCATGCATAATTTGATGAGTAAAAGATACAAGCATATGAGTCAACGTTTATTCGTTCCTTTTGCCCTAACAGGAAAAGCGATATCTGTGGGCCCCTCGATGATTTGGTGTTGACTTATGTGCTGGGCCCAGCCAGGACTAAATTGATGTGTTCGATTAGAAGTCCTACATCATCACAAATCAGGAATCGGGAAACATAGATTCTGGACAAACAGATTGATTACATTCCATGTCTTTTGTCTGGGGATATCAAGCAGAACGAAGGGTTATATGATCACTTATCTTAGGACACGTAACTGACTGGGTCAGAGTTCGGCAGCAGCTTTTTGGAAGCTACAATTTGCTGGTCAAATTTAGAAGGCATACTAGCAATTATAGTTACAGACTTATCCAAGTGGGAGACTGTTGGATTAGGTGTCTAAGCCCATAACTATAATTGGTATGTACTTGAATTGATAGCAGCACAGTCCTTTTGGGTTGCCCTCAACCTAGCAACTGGACAAGGAAATTATGAAAGGAGAGATATTAATTTATAAGATTAATAAATTAATATATATAATTGATTTATTAATATGTTAATGGATTAATATATTAATTAGAAATCATAATTTGATGAGTAAAAGATACAGGCATATGAGTCAACGTTTATTCGTTCCTTTTGCCCTAACAGGAAAAGCGATATCTGTGGGCCCCTCGATGATTTGGTGTTGACTTATGTGCTGGGCCCAGCCAGGACTAAATTGATGTGTTCGATTAGAAGTCCTACATCATCACAAATCAGGAATCGGGAAACATAGATTCTGGACAAACAGATTGATTACATTCCATGTCTTTTGTCTGGGGATATCAAGCAGAACGAAGGGTTATATGATCACTTATCTTAGGACACGTAACTGACTGGGTCAGAGTTCGGCAGCAGCTTTTTGGAAGCTACAATTTGCTGGTCAAATTTAGAAGGCATACTAGCAATTATAGTTACAGACTTATCCAAGTGGGAGACTGTTGGATTAGGTGTCTAAGCCCATAACTATAATTGGTATGTACTTGAATTGATAGCAGCACAGTCCTTTTGGGTTGCCCTCAACCTAGCAACTGGACAAGGAAATTATGAAAGGAGAGATATTAATTTATAAGATTAATAAATTAATATATATAATTGATTTATTAATATGTTAATGGATTAATATATTAATTAGAAATCATTATGTTTAATTAATTGTTAGCCAGAAATTAATCAGAATTGATTTTGGGGTTAAAAGAATTAATTATAAAGTGCAGGGACTAGTTTGCAATTTACTGATAGTTGAATGGAAGGATCCATAACTCCCTTGGAAGGGGGTGGACGAAAACCCTAGGGGAAACCCTAGAGAATTCGTCCAAGGGGTCCAAGATAAGGCCTTGGGTCTTGCTTAGGCCCTAAGCAAAGGATAACTAGGGTTTTCCCTAAACCCTAGTTCCCTCAACTATTTAAGGAGCCTCCTGGCTCACATTTTGGGTACTGATTTCTTTGGAAGAAACCCTAAGGCCAAAATTGCATACTCTCTCCATCCTCTCTCCTCCAAGTTTCATTCTTGCTAGTTCTTGGGTGTGATTCCATTAGAGGCATTACATTTGTGGTGCTAAGCTTCCAAGAAGATCAAGATCAAGATCAAGAGGATTATCAATTGTTTGCTATAACAATTGAAAGGTATGTAAACCCTAAACCCTAGTTTTGTTAATTTCGAAATTAGCCTCTCTCCTCTAGGGTTCTTATTTTGCAATTCAAAGTTGTATGTTCAATAGTTAAAACATAGATCCAAAGTAGGTTGCATGTGAACTTAGGAATTGTTTTCTGGTTTATTTGTTTTACCTAAAACTCATCAATTGGCCCATTAGGCCCATTAAGAAAATCCTAATCCAAAAATGAACTTAAATCGGGATTTTTAGGATTTCCAATCTTTGTTGACTATTTGAATGCTTGTATAGGAATTTTGTTGTCATTGATTTAATCACAATACATGTTTTCAAGTTTTAACTACAATGTCACTCTTTGTTAAGTGTTTACAGCGTATCAGAATTCCTAGTTGTGACATATACTATCATATAGACATAATATTAACGTATATACAATATTTAGCATGCGTTTTCCCCCGAAAATACTAAAAAGTGGGGCCGTGAAACTCACCCTAGTAGCGTGATCTATAGAATCTAAACGGTCAGAGGCTCATCGTTGTCAGGCTCGGGAAGGAAAATGGCCTTCGGAAACGAGAGAGAGAGAGAGAAAAGAAATGGTGTAAGGATTGAATGAGCCGAACTTGCTATTTATAGGGTGTTCTGGGTCCATTCACGTCGTGAACATGATAGGTTCACATCGTGAACTTCCATGAGTAATCCCGTAGCCTTAACGCGTGTTTTCTAGCTCCGATTAGTGTTTGTTGACTCCTCACGTCGTGAGTTTTTATGCTCACGTCGTGAGTTCAGTCAAATTAGGGTTTCTGACAGCTATATCTTCGGAAGGTCGTAACTTTTGCATACGAACTCCGTTTTTGACGTTCTTTATATCCACGCGTAGGTATTTACCAGTACTACAACTCTCTTTTAGACTCCAATAGCTAATTATAAGTCTATTTTAAATTCCTCTTATTATAGAGATTTATAGTGTTCGGTTTATCATAACTTCTTCACGCGAAGTCAGATTTAGACGTTCTCTATATTTTTGGAATCGTATGGACGTATAATTTGAGTTGTATCATAAAAGTTCATACTTGTATTAGAATTTATCACGAATTACATAGTAAGTTTGTCACATTACTAGTTTAACAAAATCACATTACATGATTGGTATAATCACATGTGATTGTTATTGACCTATTTTGACTAGTGTTACACAAGGCGACTGTGAGCGATGTGCCAGTGGTGCGAGAGTACCTAGATCTGTTCCCAGAGGAGTTGCCTGGGATACCTCCAGAGAGACATGTGGAGTTCCGGATTGACCTCGTTCCTGGTGCGGCTCCGATAACCAAGACATCATATCGGTTGGCTCATCCCGAGATGCAGAAGTTGTCTACACAATTATAAGTTACAAAAGTCCCTTAAAAATTGTTTAGATGTGGTTTTCATGACAATGTGGTGGGTAATTTGGAGTTGTAGAAACAATTTCTTGTTTTCGGGTAAGAAGCGGAGATTGACGGGTCTTTTCGACAACATTTTTACCTTATCATTTTTTGGGTTAATTATAGGAGTAAATTGAAATTTATAAGTTGGGTCGGTTGGCTCTAAGACCCTAACATTGTTTTTTCTTAATGTTCTTGTATAAATTTTTTGGTTTTTCCAGCTAGTTTCTTGCTAGTCTAGTGTGTTTTTAATTCCACTATTGTTCGAAAAATAACATCTAGCTGGCAGTGAACAAGCAAACAATCATGTATTTTTTGGGCTAAAGTGTTATTATATGTGCTTTACTACTCACATAAAAAATCAAACACATTCATTCGCTCACATAAAAAATACACCATACAATTAGGGTATATATAGAATAAAACTTTTGGGCAATTCAGCTATTGTATCATTTGGATTGTGATAAAAGAAAAAGTTATCGCTAAGGGGGTGTTTGGCAAAAAAACTTATTGCTTATTAGCTTATTAACTTATAAGCTAATAAGTAAGTGTGATGTAACTTATGAAAAAATGACTTATTAGAGGTTCCCCACCGGAATAAATTATTTTTCATCCAAACACTTATAATGGTGTGGAACCACTAATAAACTAATAAGTTGTTTTAATAAGCTTAGCCAAACACCCTAAGTGGATTAATATTAGAAAGTAATAGTTACCTTTTTTCTTTTTGAAACGACATATCCAACATTCAACCTATTCCTAAACTACACCTTAAATCCACCCTATGTCCAATGGGACTTGAACCCTCAACGTTAAAAGAAAATGGCAAAAACCGATACTGGGGCTAGAAGCTTGATAGAATAGTTACCTAATTATAGTTACCTAATTGGTAGATTGCAATGGATCAAATTCGTCGCAGTGATTGTTGCAAGAGAAACTGAGAAAGAGAAAGGAAAACAAAACCAGAAACAAGGAAAGAAAGAAACACGAGTCCATGACTGATCAGTGATTCGTCGTTAGGGTTTTATCCCCACTTCCAACAGCATGGATCAACACAGAGAATACCGTTCCTCTTGGTCCTACGACAACTCTGTCCCTCCACCTTCCTACCACGACGGCGGTAACTTTAACCATGGTAGCGGATTCTCTAACGACGGCCACTTCGATCACCACCGTAGATACCAAAACCACCATCAAGATGTCGGTAACGAACCAAACGACTCATTTGGATACGCCATTGGAACTGCATTTGCTGGACGAAAGCGACAATTCTCTCACTCTGCTCACGGACCTCCTGGTTTGTTACCTTACTTTTGCAATTCAAAGCAACAAATACATCCATAGATTTTATAAACATTTCCGAAACAACAGCTATAAACTATTTCCCCCTGGAATTGATAGCTTCTTACCTTCAGATATGATATGGATTTTTATTTATTTATTTATTTTCCAAGCCGCACCAAACTTTATAACAAGTACTGGAGATCGAAGACTTGCTGAAGGAGTTTTATTGTCTCAGGATACAACAATGATGGAAATTATGCGAAGCTTTATGTTAAAGGGGTCCCAAGAGAAGTCACTGAACAAGATGTAAGTTGTTTACATCTAACATCAGATTCCCATCCCCCAATTTGATGATGGTTGCATACATGACATATTATTCTAATTAGAAATTACAAACATCACCAAAGGTTAAGCCCCCTTTGTATAAATCTTCAAATTTCTACTTTACATAATACTTTTGAAGTTAAACCAAATTTATGTCCTTCCCCTGATTACCTATACTTTCCCTTCCATGCTGTCATGTAGTAAGACCTTTTTGATGATATCTTAGCGACCTACAAGTGACAATGGAGCATCCATTCATTTTAGGAGCCAATAATTGCATCTCAACTACACCCATTTTCATGTATCTTGCGTCAGCTTAATGAAGTTCACCATCTTTTTAGAACAGAGCAATATGCTTCTCATAAAAATGACAACCTTTTCTGTTCTAAACTGGAAATGATCAGACATAGTTCACAAGGGAAGACTGGACTGGCATGCTTTATAATTCATATGATAGAGAATATTATCAACTGAGTTTGATGGTCTTTGGTGCATGATTTTTGTTTGTTATGCCTTTAAGTGTAACTTCTTTCGCATCTATGATCATGAAAATCATTTTTTTTTGGTATGCAATCATCATTGATCAAAATCATATCATCAGTCTCTACCATGTAATAAGAACTATATTGCTTTCATCATCATAGTTTTCCTTTATCTTATCAGATCCGTTCCTTATTTGGTAAACATGGAAACATCATTGAGGTCGTTCTTTTCAAGCAACTAAAAAGCGTACAAGAGCAAGGTAAAGTAGAATAGTCACCATGAGCAATATATTTTGATAAATAATCTCTGGTTCACACAAAAAGTTACTGGTTGTGCTAGGACAAAGTAAAAGGCGTTAATTAGATATTTTCTTGATTCGGTGTATAAAAACTGAAAATCATGTAATGAGTTTATAAATTAACATCAGCAACCTGTATCTCCAGAATGTTGTTTTGTGAAATATGCAAAGACAGAGGATGCTGCCCAAGCTATACGAGCATTACATAATCAACATAGTTTTCCTGGGGTAAGTTTAATACACTGGAGATGATGGTTAAACCTTTTGTCTGATTGTAGCTATGAATCTTGTTATTCCAGGGAATGCGTCCCATTGAAGTTAAATATGCCTCAAGCTCAAAGAAACACGAACATCTAGGTAACTCCATCTTATTGCGTAGTTGCATCCCCTTTCTAATTCTTTTATTTTTTCTCGAAATATTTGCAAAGATTTTAATTGACCAAGGTGTCAACCTATCTCGTCATCTCTCTCTATGCCTATGCCTATGCCTCTGTGTTGTGTGATGTGATAGGGTGCTTCAGGACGAATGAATGCAAAGTGTTTGTTGGTTTCCTGAACAAGCATGCATCCGAAGGGGAAATTGCAGAAGTATGCTCCACTCTAAAACTTTTACTTGCTTATCTGGAGATGTTTCATGTCCCTTTTGTTGCACCACATTTTAGTGTACAAGTTTGATTATCTTGCCACTTGGATGCCGTATAATTATAGAATAAGACTGTGTATTTGAGCACCTCTGTTTGGTCATCAGATAATCTTGTATGTTTGTAGACTCCTTCAAAAAAGTTTACTTGAATTTGGGTACTATCATATGTATAGTATGTGTTGTAGTCTAGGTATTTGAGATAGGATTGAATGATTGAACTAGAATCAAATGTTTCAAGTGCCTTTTGCGAGCACAGTCTCTCCTCTCCTAAGAACTGAGTTCTAACTGAACAAAAGAATAGCTAGCTAACTAACTTGTAATGACCTCTTATTTATACTAGGATTAGCACCGACCTAACTAGGAAATGACAATAATACTCCTAGTCACATCCTTTATCGCATAAATAAGAAAAGAGGTCAACCAAATAGGTGGGTCAACGAAGGCTAGTCACACCAACAAAGTTAACCCAAGCCTTTACGCCTGACCACCTCTCTTATATCTATTTTATGATATAGCTCCACTGGCTTTCACTTCCCAAGACAAGGTTTTTATGAGTGTCCTCAATCCTCAACAGACAAATGAATAAGACGGTCCATTGTTTCTAACAAGGAAAGAAAAAGACTTGGTCTCAATGGTTGAGTATTTGTAAATGGACTCCCTTTAAAGCCTTGTGTTTGATCATAACTATGGTTTCCACTTTCCACCCTATTAGCTGCTATCTTGGATGACCTGAAATTCAATTAACAGAAAATGAAGACCATGGAAAGACATTAATTTCTTTCAATGTATCTTTTGCCCACTTTCATACCCCGCTGTTCGGTTCCATGTCTCTCAGCTCAAAAGAGAAGAGACATTGGAGTCCAACCTTGTTGTTCTCAGTTGCTGCCACACTTGCGTCATCCTCCTTCCAACTTGAGGACAAGCTGCCTCTTTAGGGGTACCTTCACTTACTCTACAAACAAGTAGAAACATCTTTTAGTGGAAGGGCATTTTGGGTATTTTCCATTTTATCTATGTTGGGATTTGGTCTATAGATAGTGGTGAGAATAAGGCGTTGGTATCTTTTTGTGATCTGATGCCTTTGGGAGAGGTTAGTCTCTCGAATACTAACATTTTCTTTTTTGCATTGTAATCCTCTGGATTTTTAAGTATTTTGGGTGTGAGAATTCATATTTGAGTATTATTTTCCCTCTTGTTACTGGATTGTTGTTCAAGTTCATACCATTTTGTTACATCCGAAGATTTGGATGAGTTACATTTTTTTTCTTTCTTTCTATCATGGGCCTGATACGTGCTACATGTCATTAAAGAACTCATCTTTCCGTTGATACCACTATGTATTTTTTTTTTTCTCAAGAATGTAAACCTTTTATTTATGTAAGAGTCTTTTATATGCTTCTGATTTGAAAAAAAAAACATTCATTTTCAGATATTTTCCCCTTATGGGTGTGTTGAAGAGGTGTTCCTACTGCGTGATGAACAGAAGCAGAACCGTGGTTAGTCATTTGCATGAAACATTATAATGTGATGTGTAATCAATCATATGTCAATTCTTTCTGCAGACAGGTTTATAAATGTTTTGTATTAATTATTATTATACATGTTGATGGTTTAAACTAAGGCATGGGATTCATCACATTCACTCACAAAGATATGGCTGTTGCTTCAATTAATGGTCTGCACGGAAACTATGTGATGAAAGTATGTATGACTACATAATGATTTTAGCTCCCTCCCTATTTCTACTTGCAATTAATGAATAATGATCTTGGTTTAGGGTTGTGATCAGCCCTTGGTTGTCCGGTTTGCAGACCCAAAGAAGCCAAAAACTTGGGAAAACAGGTAGTTTACTTTTATCCAATCTTTCTAGTTAGCACAGTTTTTGTTATGTGTAAAGAAGAGAAGAGATCATGTACTTCTTTCCTTGGTCTGTTCTTTTTTAGCCACTCACTGATCCTCAATATTAATATTAATATTTGCATCTATTTATCTAACTGTTTTGGCGTTGTGTGTTGCTGCAGATGTGCACCTTACATGAATGATCCAGTGGGTCAAACCTCACTACTACCTAATAATACTTCACATATGGATATGGTTAGCCCTCTCTCTCTTCCTACATATCTCATCTCGTGTCCCATACATGCATAGATTTTGGAAATCATCTTTAGCTTTAGCTTTATCTGTTGTGTTTGTGAAGAATATTTTGTCTAGACTAGTGGTAATGGGAAAGGGAAGCTTAATTAAAAGAGTTGGTTTATTGTTTGTATCGGTGAGTGTGTGTAGTATTCACATACTGGAAACGGAAACGGAAGCGAGCCTCCATCGGTTTCCAGCTCTACTACTTGTGTGCCTGGCCCTGGCCCCACTACAAGTAGTGAGTTGGCAGTAGATCTGGCTGATGCTGATGCTGATGCTGATGCTGATTGTGATTGGAGTGAGCATATATGTCCTGATGGCAATGCATACTATTATAACTCTGAAACATGTGAAAGCCTGGTAACACTTTTTATACTTTTGCAGCTTTTATATATATATATATATATATATATATATATATATATATATATATATATATAATACAACTAACTCTCTCTCGGTGTCCTGTCAGTGGGAGAAACCAGAGGAATACAGCTATTACAAGCAACAACTTCTTGACAAGTGCCATTATTAATCCTCCATGTCAGCAGCATACCTATCGAGGTCTTAACTAAAACAATCTCGTCTCATCTCACACACAGCCTATTCAGATCTTGTTAATTGTGTTGTCTAACAGTAACACTTGACATCTGCTTTTCAGGTTTATATATTTATGTCATCTTCTCTTTTCATGTCATACCAATACCAATACCATGGGGAATGCTAACCAATCCATCAGCTAGGAGCTAGATAGGGTCACGTTTGACAAAGCATATGTTATTAATGTTTGGTAGCCAGGTGAAATTGTTTAATATCTCTATTAATCTTATTAACATATATAGATATAGTGGTATGATTCCCATGTGAGGGTGAGGGTGGACAACTATCGTGGGGCCACATGCATGTAATGTTTCCATACAAATTTAATTTAGTGTGTTTGAGGAAAATGATTTAAACATGTTTGGTTTGGTTTGCACATGATATATGCATGGGTTTGATTTTTTTTGGAGATTCATTGAATTGAATTTGAATGGGAAACAAATCACAAGTAAAAGATACTGGATATTGGATTGTACAAAACATGTCACCCTCTGCGCTTTTTACCTTTTAGTGCTTCATGACACCTTCTCCACGTCATGCTTAATTTTGCATAAATTGTAACTCGACTACTGCACCATCACCTACGCCTACTATATATTTATATACCTAATTAAATGCACATTTGCCTTTTTAACTTTTTTATTTCTTTTCTCTTGAAATAGTTTGGCCCGGGGGAAATAAAAAAAATATTTCACTACAGTTCTAAAGAAACAAAAATAGTTTGAATGTGATTAATTCTTTTCTTTATGATGATCCTGGCCAATTTGTAAACAGTACGCTTATCCCTCCTACTGAAAATACAATAATGATAATAATTAATAATAATAATAAAAAATCATGTAGAAAGAAAGACTCCTGTACAATTGATCCTTATTTTTATTTTTATTTTTGTCACTGGAGACGCATGAATTAATTTAAAGTTCACTTAAAAATTCGATGAAAATGTTCAGTAGTAATCTCAAAGCAAACATATTGTCGTTACAACTAAGTTGAACTTAGTAAGAACAAGATAGTGGGTTTAACCTCGTATATATAGTTTTTTAATTTAAAATACTTGACAAGTTAAATTTATTAAAAGAAACGGATCGAAAAGGGTACACCGTTAGAAAATATCAGGAATATAATTTAAGAATTAAGAGTGCCCGGATCGACTTAATAATTATATTGGACAAAAAGTGTATATGACAATTAAAACTGCCAGCATGCCTCAGTAACCAAGCTAGTCAGTCTGGCATTAACCAAAATGAATCGGAATTGTGAAGCACAAAAAGTGATGTTAATACATATATATTAATGCAATAATTAAATTGTTTGGCGTTTGGTAAAGGACAAGCAGCTAGGTTTATATAATTGACACAGACCATTCCTATCTACAAAAGACCGGGATTAATAAAGTAAAAACTAAGGTCTTCCATGCTAGCTATATATACACTGGAACAAGGTACGTATTAATTAATGCTGGGATGTTTGATATATAATTGAAAGACGATCGAAGATGCATGATGAATGAGTGATGAATTAAGTGTTGCTTGTGGATAGCATATCCGGCCTGATCAAGAAGACCTGCAGCTGCTCCTTAATTGGTCTAGTTTCATGCATATATGGTAGCTGCAGGCCGAGCATAGCTAAGATATAGAGCTATGTATAGCTAATTATAGGTAGTGGGATTGATGATGATGCTGTTGTTGAGATGATGATTAAAGGATGGAATTTTAATAGTAGGTGCAGCAGAAGGGCTTGGGCTTGGATGGATGTGTTGACCTTCGTAAGTGGTAACAACGAAGGAGGGATCACCCATACACCTCTCCACTCTCTTCTTCACATTACAGGATGCACTTGTGCACCTGTAGTAGCTCCTGCAGTTAATTATAAACTTATATACATGTTGATTGAATCTAATGAAGAAAGAAAGCAGTAGTGCATGGCCAATTGGCTACCTCGGGAAAGGGCTGTTCTTGACAGCTTTCTGGCCGTACTTGCGCCATCTGTAGCCATCATCCAGATGATCAATCTCAGTCCTCGTCATGAATGCAAATCTTGCTTCTCTCTCTTTCTTCTTCTTCTTCTTCTTTAATGTCTTTCTCTCATCATCTCCATCCACCTTCGTTCTCTTCGATTCCATGCACCTGTAATATGTAATGTATTACATAATCATTAATCCTAGCTATGTATTATACATGATCTTCGATCTTCAACATGCATATATATATATATATATATATATATATATATATATATATATATATATATATATATTCCCATGCATTTTTAAATATTTCATTTGATTTCTCTTCAGAATATTAAAACCTTAAACAAACTTGTGGCTGTAGTTTAGTGGTAAGAATTCCACGTTGTGGCCGTGGAGACCTGGGCTCGAATCCCAGCAGCCACATAAATATACAAGTCTTTTTATTTTTTATATACGTATACTGTTAAGGAGAATATCCATTTTTCATTTCACTATAGTTAAAGTGTTCATTCACAAATAACTTTACATACTTACAATTTCCTTAAATACTATTATTTTATAAACAGTTTAATTAAACCTACTATCTAAGAATACAGGAACAGCGAATTTCTCACGACAGTAGAATGTTACTAAGAAAACCTATTTTTGTAATAGTCTTTATTTATTTATTTATTAAAGATGGATACTAGATTACACTTAGGTTAGAGAACCAGTTATAAACTTACTGTTTCAGGGGCTTGTGTAGTTGATCAACAGTAGCAGCAGCAGCAGCAGCAGGTTGAGGTGAGGAGAGGGAAGAAGCATTCGGTGATGAAATTGAAGGGTGCACATTTAACACCACCGATATCGATGATTCTTCTCCAGCAACCTCATCAACAGTTACATCCTCCTCCTTGTAATGATCATGATCATGTTGGTTCGAATGAGGATGAGCTGACGATGATGATGGTGGTGATGGCAGCTGATGGTCATGGTGGTACATCATCATCATCATATTATTAATGTCAAAGATGGAAGAAGAAGAAGGAGATGAATAGTTATGATCATGAAAACCACCCTGCAATAACTCCATGAACCCTAAGGAAGTCTTTTGCTCGGACCCAAAAGCAGTCTGATCCAGTACTGGTAGTGATGAAAACGGGTCAGAAGGAATATCCATATCCATGTGAGGATAGGGATTATTCTGATTCTCCATTTTGATCATCATCATCATCATCATCAACTCTTTGGTGTCCATGGCTTCTAGTTCCATCTGTAACAGGACCTTTGCTCACTCTTATAATGTTGTGTGCTAATTAATCAATTTCGATCTAGCTAGCTAGGAAATAGGAATATCAATCAAGAGGGGGAAGGGTTTCGGTGGTAGTAGTATAGTAATAAGGAGGAATTAAAGGAGGCTTGGGGTGAAAGGTTGACCGGAAATAGGCGGTGAATGATGGTACGGACGACAGAGAGGAACCGGTGACCATATTAAATGCGACCAATGACTCTGTCTCACAGATAGATAAGAAAGAGGGAAGGGGTGGTAACTTGTAGCTCTATCTAACCGACCACCGTGGTCAATTTTCGTTTGTCTTTTAATGGAAACTATCGTCTTTGGTCCCTATACTATTATCTTTATTTAATACGATACAAATATTTCTTTTTTGTTTTTTCTGTATCTTTCTGACTCCTTGGGTAAGATGTATTACATGATGCACCTTTATTTCTTTTTCAAAATTATGTTTTCTTTTTTTATTTGATTTTTTACATCTAAAAAACCTTGTAGTTTCAATATTAATTGTTAAGTGAATTATATATAGATAAATGATTTGCATATAACAATTTTTTTCTATATAAAAATATTTATATTTTATAAAATTTTAGAATACTACATTTTAAATAACAAAGTGTTATATACAAGTAGAAACTATTAATAAAAAAAAGTTCGAAATGAAAAATCAAAGGATTCATGTAAAGAAGGACAAGTGCGGGGAGGGTGTGAACGTAGATTTGGGTTTAAGGAGCCTTGGGAATCTGTGCACAAGTTGTGGTACTATGTGCCGTGTACCACTTTTTCTTTTTTATTTATTTATTTTCCAATATTTAAATTTCCCTCCCATCTCTAAATAATTAAGATTTTAGAAAAATATACTTTTGTTGTTTAAGAATAAATATAAATACCCTATTTAATATATTTTACAAGAATTTATGCCATATTTCTTATATAAACAATAAATATAGTAAGCAAAACAAATGAGACAATCTTCGCTAAAAATAGTTATAAACTTTTAAATGTTAAAACTTCCAGAAAAATTAAAAACCGAATACTTTAGAAACTACATAAATTATTTTTTGGATTGAGATTTTGCAGTTTAATTATTAAACTTGTATTTGCAAACAAATTTTTTTTTTCAAATACTAAAAATTAAAAGCTATTAAAAAATCATGCTTAGCATTTCGTAAATCACCGTAAAAACAAAAGGCAACGTTTCAAATTTCAATCCTCATTTCGTCTCGAAGATGCATTGATATCTACATTATTTTATTAATTATAATGTTTTAAGTCTATGTTTTATATCACTACTAGAAACATGGGTTTTAGAGACGGAAGAATCCGTCGCTAAACGATGTTTGCGATGGATCAGCGACGGATTCACTCCATAGGTAATTAAAAAGTGGCTAATGACTCAGCGAGGGTTCTAGCGACGGATCCGTTTTTCCTTGCGACAAATTTAGCGATAGAATATCCGTCGCTAAATGTCACTCAATACATTTACTCAGGGCATTAGCGACAAAATTTGTTAAAGTCATTCCGCCGTTCTATCGCAAATTCCGTGATCAATTTTTTTTTCCGTAGCTAATCCCTTGCAAAATTCATATACTAATTTTTTTTCCGTCGCTGATCTGTCGCAAACTTTAGACATGATTTTTTTTCCATAGCTAATCCCTTGCAAAATTCATACATTAATTTTTTTTTTCCATCGATGACCGTCGCAAACTTTAGACATGATTTTTTTTTCCGTAGCTAATCCCTCGCAAATTTTTTGCATTATTTTTTTTTGTCACTAATCCGTCGGGAACTTGTAATATCATTTTTTTATTATGATTCTAAAAGAAAAAAAATACTACAATCATCAAATTATTATACTAAAAAACATCAAATAATGATACAACCAAACATTCCAATACCAAAACTATCAAAGTTTACTAAAGTATCATTCAAAAAACATCCAAAAACAAAACTGTCCACATAACATCAAACTCCCAACGGTTGAGAACATTTTAACACCAAGAAATCCAAAGTATGCAAAAGAGGTACAAACAGAAAAAAGTTTAACCTTCAAAATAAGCATCGGGAAATGAGTTTTCACAAAACATAACTTCAAAATAACATTTTAGCTGCTCTCTTCATTTCATGTTCATCCAATCATCTTCGGTTCTCATTCCTATAAAACATTATTCAAAACAATCAAAAACATCAAATGCAAAAGGTTAACAAGTCATTCAAAAACATCAAATACTAATGGTTAACATCATATTACCTCTGATTTTCAATTTCCCATCATATTTTGCAAGGCTGCATACATCTTCTCCATTGCTTCATATTTTGCATCAATTTGTTGTTGTTTGACATCTATTGTTGCAGCTTTGGCATCTATTTCCTCACGTATTTGTTGATGTTTAGCTTCCATTTCTGCAGCTTTAGCATCCATTTCCCCACGTATCTCGTTTCGTACACGTTCATAGACAACCTAAAGTACAATGCCATGATATGAAACTTTGTAAGTACAATGCTATAATAGGAAACTTTGTAAGTACAATGCTATGATAGGAAACTTTGTAAGTACAATGCGATGATAGGAAACTTTGTAAGTACAATGCCATGATAGGAAACTTTGTAAGTACAATGCCATGATAGGAAACTTTGTAAGTACAATGTCATGATAGGAAACTTTGTAAGTACAATACCATGATAGGAAACTTTGTAAGTACAATGCCATGATAGGAAACTTTGTAAGTACAATGCCATGATATGAAACTTTGTAAGTACAATGCTATGATAGTAAATTTTTATAAAGTACAAAATTAAACGAACCTCTTGGGATGTTATTGTACTAGATGTTCCTTCCAAAAAGCTCGCTGGTCAGACACAGATCCGAATCCATATATTCTTCCTTTCTTGACTCCTCCAGAAACATCACACCATGTTTCATTATCCAAAAGGGGGTGGCAACTAGTATCATCACCAAACTTAGCCACCATAGCACTTTCATAAGCCTCCTATTATAGCAAAAAAAAAAAAAAACATGAAAAAACAGAAACATGAAAGAAAGAATGGAATGGTTCATTCCATTTAATTAAAATCATAATCAAGGAATGAAATGAACCACTTCATAAGCCTCCTATTAATTAATACTCAAACCTTGCATAAAGTTGATTACTACTTACAAAACACTTAATTATAACTAGGCAGAGGATCAAACATTTAAAGATAATAATTTGTTTCTTTTCTTTTGTTAGTTGATTACTACTTATGAAAGATTTGTTTTCTGTCAATTTGTTGCTTTAACAAAGTCATTAACCCGAGTAGTAGGAAGTTTTGTTTCCTACAAAAGAATTGAAAATACCTGAACTTTAGTTGCCTTTGGTGTAATGTACTCTTGAGTAGACTGTTTAGTGTGCAACCTTGCATAAAGTTCAACTCCTGTAGGAGGGCGTTTAAGTGTTGCTTGCTACAAAATCCATTAGTAATACATTAAAAAACAAAACAAAAAATCAATAGTCTAAGTGGAAACTAAGGTGAGATGCAAACATCTTACCATTCTTTTCTTATGTTGACGAATAGATATAGAACCCCCAGTATGTTTGGAAACAGAGCTATCTTCTAATTTATTTATGTTATTTTTCCCTGATTGTGATAAACGTTTCCATTTGGATGTGGTCCACAGTTCATTGATAATTTTTTCCCAATACTCCTTTTTATCCAATTTGGGCGATAGTCCTTTAGCAAATTTAAATCACCTTCTAGTGAGGCATTCACATTTGCAGCTTGTGCAAGTTTTAAAGATTCTTCACGTGCTCTTCGCATTGTGTCAGGAAATCGTTTCTTCATACAGTCTTCCCATACCTTGCGAGCAAGAAAATCAGTCTCTTCGGGCCAGACATACAAACCCTACATGTAGATCACGCATACAATTATCTTTTTCATTTTACACCAAGTTTTACTTTGATAAATCATAAAAATAATAAGCACAAACCTTGAAGTGTTCCCACATTGCATCACGATGTTCTTTGTCAACCTTCTTCCACGAGGTCCATGGGCCGTCAAACATCGTCTTCAGTATACATGTGATGTCTCTGATCACTGAAATCTGATCCGTAAATCTTGCAAAAAATAAATAATTAAAAAATTAGCATTAGTATTATCATTAACAAGTAAATTCATTTTCATAAACAATTGTAAAATTAACATTAGTACTCGTTTTCAGACTCGACTTCAATGAACTTCCTTTTTGATGGGTTACTTGGAACTTGTTCCAAGATGTTTGATCCTCTAACTGAAGAAGAAGGTTGACTTTCTGCATTATTGTGTGATTGAGATGCATTTCTATCTCCAGCATCACGACCACCAATGTGACTACCACTGCGACCACCACCACGGGCTCCTCGTGGCCCCATTAGTAAAAAAATAACCCTTAAAATCAAGAATTAATAAACTATTGGTTAGAACAAGTATGTATTATAATAGAAAATTATAGAAGTAAGAGAAGGTAACATGCTATAATACACAAATAAATGAAAGTACAATGTATATAGAAAAAGAAAACGATCATTTTAGCTAAAAAGTTATTAATAAGGTCCATTAGGCAATATATAGTTCCAAATACATTGTTTCATTCTACATTTTTAGTAATTACTCATCATCAGAATTATCATCACATATGTTGTCTTCATCTTCAATATCATATTCGGATGAATCATCCAAGTTATCATCAACTTCTTCATCTTCTTCTCTCTCAATGTCATTGTCATTAACTTCTTCTATTTCTCCTTCAATTACATGAGAAAGGGGTCCTGCCACCTCATTTGCACCGCTACTTGTAGAAGGTAAAGTCGCTTCACTTTCTTGAAAGAATTGGTCCTCTTCATCCTCATCATCATCTTCTTCAGTAACACATTGTCGTAGATCATATACACCCCTTGGCTTCGTCTTGACGACAACCCACCAATCTTTCAAATCCTTCATTGTAGGATATGGTGCATAATACACTTGTTCTGCTTGTGACGCTAGGATAAACAAATCTTCATTTCTTAGCCTTGATTTGTATTTAATATCAACCAAATTATGCTTTCGATCCACACGTACCCCTTCAGTAGGGTTAAACCATGTACACTTGAACAATACTACAACACAACGCCCTATGCCTTGATATTCTACTTCCAAGACCTCATCCAACAACCAATAATAGTCACACTCAGTCTCATTGTAACAAGTCCCTCTTACACA